TAACACATATAATAATATAAAAACGGAGTTAATTATGTATTACTAGTATAAAAACAGAGTAAAGAATTCGAGTAAAAAAACAGAGTAAAGAATTCGAGTGAAAAAACAGAGTAAAACAGACAAAGCGATAGTAACACATAATTAAGTCTATAAACAAAGCCTTCACGTAATAAGATTCTTTTAACGACGTGATGCTTTGTGCATGATGACTTTTCTGTTATATTAATGATTAAAAAGAATAACATTGTATATATATTCAACATGAGGAATTTCAATATTCGTAGTTTGACTAGTTGATGTTGAATCCATGAATGCCGTACACATAACAGTCAATAATATACGAACGGGCGACTCCAAAACTACTTTGGGATACATGCTCCCAGTTTTTAATTACGCTTTCCATTTCTAAGTCATTTTTTATTCTTCATCTGGACCTTCGGCAAAACAAACAAGCCACAAGCTTTTAGCTTAAAAATATTAAAAATAAATTAGAACAAACAGATTCGAAAATTTAGGGTAACGCAAAATACAAACCAGTCCACTATACATGAGTTTAAGCCAAACTATCGAACATGTGCATTGGTTAGCTTTGACCCATTTTTTGTGGTATAAGAATGAGCAATTTTATGGAATTCCTAATTTAAGAAAAATCGATTCCTTGGTCACTACTCACTAATTGTAATATGTCTCTAGATCAATTTTTTATTTTTATTTTTAAACTGTAATGTATCTCCTTACACTATGAACTATTAGCCTATTCGCAAGCGCTTTCGCGCCTGCTAGAGGTTTAAAAAAAATTATTTTAATTTATTTTTAGAATTAAAAAAGATAATGGATAGTTGTGTTCCATCAAAATAGGATCCATTATCTAATTTTTTTTTAATTTAATTTTTTCTAATATGAAAAAAAATATAAATTTATCATATTATCCTTATTTAATTAATAATTTCAATTCTTAATGTTTGCATCAACCAAGAGCATTTTTTGGTATTTTGAATGTTTCACCATTCTTTGTCTTTTGTTTTATATATATAAATAGATTAACATATGCATATGCTTTTTTATTTATTTTAAAAAACACTTTATTTATTTTTCCGTGATTAATAAAAATCAGTCGTATATAATTAACCTTAATATTGGTTTAACAATTCTCTTATTCTTCTCACATTGCTGATAATAAAACGAAACGACTCCCTCTTATTCAAAATCATGCATACAAAGTCAGTTAGAATAAAATTCAATCGAAGCGCCCACAGATCTGCTGCACTATTAACAGCCATTAGATTTAACGAAAGAAGGTTGCATGGGTGGGGCAGGGTTGTTGTAGCCCCACGTGGAATCTAATATTAATTATAAGTCTTTTTTTAAATTTTAAATACAGATATTAAGTTGAAAAATGCATTATAATTTTTCTGAGCCATGTTCTAATTTGGTATGGATAATTTGAATTTGGTTTGGTGCGCGCTTATTGGGCATGTGTGATGTTTGGAGGTTAGGGAGCACAAGTAGGGATCCTATGTTCTTCATCATTATCAATATCCGGTAATTTTTTGTTTTTTGTTTTTGGTTTTGGGTTCCTTGGCTAAGCTTAGCAAACCAATATTGGTCAACATAAGTCAAGGGCTCAAGGTTTGGGCCTGAACCTATTTAGAAATGAAGCTAGGCCTTACCAAATTGTTTAGCCCAAAACATTTTGGCTTGGGTTAAGCTTACTTTGAGATTGAATTCGTTTGGGCCTACTAATAAATTTGAGCCCCAAAATTGTATGCCTAAAATCGATCCACTTCCATTCTCATTCAGTTTTGTATCCATCTCATTTGAGGGATTAATTTTGAGTAGTTTGTTATAATGGCTTTTCAGTTATTTTAACTAAAATTTGGCTAAAATTTAGAGACTCTCTTGGAGATGCTCTTAATAGTGTGTTTGAGAAACCCCCCTCCCTATATAATTTAGACCATCGCTTACATTAAAAAAATAAAATTAATCCCTTACGACATTTGAAACTAGCTGAATCATAAAATCTGAATTTGTGTGAATATTTAATATTTGTTTGGTTTATCCCATGTAATTCAACACGTCTTCAAAATGTTACATATTCAAACAAAATTTATTTAAAAAAAGAGAAATGGACGAATCTACCAATAACAGGAAGCCACGCAACTGGGCAACTGTAATGGTGGAACTTCATTGGGTTTTAATGGGAATATCAATTGAGTGTGACCCAAACCTCTAAAATAAAGGCACATCAACCGCACCACCCCCCAAAATTAGGGGCCAACCACCGTCTTCCATAATATAAAAGCAGATTTATAAAAATAAAAAAAAAAAAAAAAAAGGGGTGACGAGTTATATACCAAACTTTAAACAAAAACGCAGAGAATAATTTTTTTATTTATCAAATAGATTGAGAGTTGGGCATTATTATAGCTGTGTTTCTCCGATCTGCAATTTTCTTGTTTCAAAATGAGCAAGAGCGCTGTTGTTCTTCATGCCCTAAACAACTTGACCGTTACCAGATTCGTGGAAGACGCGACGTCGTTTGAGAAATGCAGCAAGGAATGTTTCGGTGCGCTTGATGCGGATGGCAAGGGAGGCTTGTCGAGGGAAAAGCTCCGTGCAGGGTTTGGTAAGCTGTTGCCGGGCATAGGGTACGTGTCACAGCCCAAGGACGAGATCAACGTTCTGCATGATGCGATATTTGAGAGATTTGATGCGGATAAAAATGGTGTGATTGATTGTCATGAGTTTAAGTCCCTGTTGATGGAGACCATGCTCGCCGTGGCACGAGGGATTGGTGGTTCGCCAGTTCTCGTGGCACTTGAGCATGGCCCCCCCCACAAAAAGGGGCCACCCCCCGTCTTCTATAATATAAAAAAAGATTTATAAAAAAAAAAAAAAAAAAAAAAAAGGGGTGACGAGTTATATACCAAACTTTAAACAAAAACGCAGAGAATAATTTTTTTATTTATCAAATAGATTGAGAGTTGGGCATTATTATAGCTGTGTTTCTCCGATCTGCAATTTTCTTGTTTCAAAATGAGCAAGAGCGCTGTTGTTCTTCATGCCCTAAACAACTTGACCGTTACCAGATTCGTGGAAGACGCGACGTCGTTTGAGAAATGCAGCAAGGAATGTTTCGGTGCGCTTGATGCGGATGGCAAGGGAGGCTTGTCGAGGGAAAAGCTCCGTGCAGGGTTTGGTAAGCTGTTGCCGGGCATAGGGTACGTGTCACAGCCCAAGGACGAGATCAACGTTCTGCATGATGCGATATTTGAGAGATTTGATGCGGATAAAAATGGTGTGATTGATTGTCATGAGTTTAAGTCCCTGTTGATGGAGACCATGCTCGCCGTGGCACGAGGGATTGGTGGTTCGCCAGTTCTCGTGGCACTTGAGCATGGCAGCCTCCTTAGGAAAGCAGCTGAACATGAACAATCTCGAACATCCAACTAGAGAGATTAATCCATATGTTTGTATGTTGTTTTGCCATACCTACCAAATACCAATCCAGATTGTAGATGATTTGTGCTTGCAATAATATATCCATAGCCACACGTGTTTACTGGTTTTTGCAATTTCATAATATTTGTTTGTTCGATCTATTTAGAGGTGGTAATATATATGCAGCACTCTTAATTTGGAATTTCTGGAAAAAGTCTGCAAATTGTTGTTGTTGGTTTGGTTTGGGCCCTAATCCCTTTCATGTTATCCTGCAAAAGAATGATCTACAAATTATTGTATTGTAGTAAACTTTAGGTTAAAGTCTTTAAAGACTTTACCTATAGATCCGTATTCACATGAATTGTCATCACTTGGTTTTATTTTATGTCATAATGCAGAGTACAAAATGCTATTTTGCTGGCAATGTACAAGGTAAAGTCACATATGTTAAAGATAAAAAATTAGCTGAAATGGTTGTATGTATGCACCGGATGCACGTGAAAGATATGTATACACATCCAGTACATACAACCAGAATAGCCAAGTTTTTCTCGTTCTTAGAGAGTATTTTTGTTCTTTTCAATTAGTCTTTCAAAAGAAGAGTGTCCTTTTCCATTAGTCTTCAGAAAGAAGAGGATGAATGGAAAAGTCAAAATAGTTAGCAGAACTATAACCTTTGTTTTAGATAATTATTTATCTAGAGAGGTATAAAAACAAAAGTACAAATGACACATGGGAGGTCTTAATTTCTGGTTTTGACGGAGGTAGGTAGGTTAATTGTAGGTAAACTAGATATTGGAAAAGAGGACGAAATCCAATCCATGCTCAACCCAAAAAAGAAGAATGATCCTTGGCTGGGAGTTCGGGATTATGCTGGAAATGTGCCAAACAAACAGCATGCAACCCAAGAGACCTGCCCTCTAAAATCTGCCTCAGAAACTGCACCACGCTACTAGCTAGATGGAAGCCACTAGGTAGAGAAACTTGTTTCATCCTCATTAGGCCAATTTTAAACACACTCATCGGCAATGGAAAAATAAGATTATCAGATGTTGAAAGTCAAAGCAAAAGAAGAAAGAAAAAAACTAATGAAAATGAAAATTTATGATTTTTGTGTGTAATATAATGGCAGAAGTTTGGTGTCTACTATCTACTAGGCATGTTGCAGTTGGTTTGTCGTCATCTATTCTCCCTCCTCCCCAGAAGTTGATGGATGAATGAAACTGAAGCTACCATACAAAAGTGGTTGGGGACTCTTTCTCCTTTTCCCAAGGCCCCATCTTCTGAACTCCTTTTGAGATGGGAAGAGGAAAAACAAATTATTATATAAAAGGACTCACTTGCCCTCTAAAAGTAAAATTAAAATAAAACCAAAGTCACCTGCAACCGTGACCCATAAGCCCCCAGTGCAACCCAGCTCACTCCCATTCCCATGACCACGAGAGAGAGATATATATATATATATATATATATATATATATAAAACTCTGTCAAAGGCGCAAATTATGGAGAATATAACATGAATGAACTGTACGTGCAAGGCTTAGCTACTGGTGCTGATGATTGTGATGATGGGAGCCTTGTAACTTTCATCATTCAAGATTCAAAGCACAAGCACATTCTTTTGCCACAGCCCCAAGCCAAAAGCTCTTCTTAAACTACTATAGCAAACCCTCAAATCCCAAACTACCCATCAACACCCACCCAAAGACAAAGCCTTTACGCCTCCAAAACTCTCTCTCTAAATCTTCCACAACCTCTCAAATACAAAACTACCCATCAATACAAAGCCAAATGAATATATAATCAAACTTCCAAACACTCCATTCATACTTCTGTCTCTCTCTCTCATCAACTTGAAACCTCCCACAATTCTTCAACTGCATATGGTTTGAGTAACAAGCAGCAATGTTGGACACCATGATCCCAGCATGTTTCAGCCAGCCCAACACACTCTCAAGCAGCTCTCAAGTGCCCCAAAACCTTATAACCTGCATATATCAAACTCAGCTTTGCAACTCACCCACATATCTCACTCTCACTTGGTCCAAAAGCCCCTTCTCTCACTCTCTAACCATTCATGCCTCAGACTCTTTTTCCATCACCATCTCCCTCAACCCATCAACTTTCTCATTCTTCAGAACCAAACCAGGCTCCAAATCCATCTCTCTAACCCACAACCATTGCCAAAGAATCAAGCTTTACTGGGACTTCACCCGGGCTGACTTCATTCACAACTCGGCTGAGCCAGAGTCTTGCTTCTACATCGCCATTTCTTGCAATGCCAAACTTGAATTCTTTCTTGGGGATCTTTTGGACGAGTTCAGTCGGCGGTCAGGGGTAGTTGTGACTCACAAACTCAGCCAACCTGCCCTGTTGTCAAGGCGGGAACATGTGTTTGGGCGCAGGAATTACATATCCAGAGCTCAGTTCTTGGGGTCCAAACATGAAATTGGAATAGAGTGTAGCGAGGGTACGCTTAAAGTAAAAGTAGATGGAGTGATAAGCCTGATTGTCAAAAGGTTGGCTTGGAAATTCAGAGGCAATGAGAGAATTTTTGTTGGTGGAGTTGAATTTGAATTTTACTGGGACGTGTTCAACTGGGTTAATAATCATAACGGTGCTAATGGGAATGGTCATGGTGTATTTGTTTTTCAAGTGGGTGATGGTGGGGTGTGGCCAGAAATGGTAGGTCCTGAGAAGAGGTTGATGAGGAAGAGCTTGTCGACATCGGCTGCTTCGGCATCAATGCCGTCGATGACTTCGTTGTCCCCGTCGCCGTCATGCTCAAGTGTGTTGCAATGGGCAGAGGAGAGTAGTGATGGGGGGAGAAGTTCATGTTCTTCATCTACTAGATCATATGGTAGTAATGGGGGGTTTTCTCTGTTGCTGTATGCTTGGAAGAGGGACTGACAAAGCAATGTGAATTATGAACTGACCTTTTATCTATTAATTCCAGTCTGAGGAAACGTTTGAGATTGGAAATAATTCCTTAGTGTTGTAAATTAAATTTCTTGTGATTTTCCTTGTGTATTAATTAATATATATATATGCAAGAAGTGCTTGATATAACTTCTGCTACAGCTGAGCCATTGCACTCTTACTATAATTTTCAAATTTTGAAGTCTATCAACTCATCCTAATTAATAAATAATAAAAAAGAAGAAGATAGATTAAGAAGCCAAAATCAAAGCATTACAGAACTATCACAACCATAACCGCAGACACACTGTTACAAGTTCTAACTTTGGATTCTCTAACATATTTTGAAACGTCTAGTAGCCTTTTTTTAATGCCCTTTACTCAAAAAGACTGGACTTTCTGCGCAAGAACATGAGGAGCTCTCATTACCACTTTACTGTCCCTATAGTTTATGTCTAGGCTTGCTTGATGGCTATGTTCCCTATCA